CCTATCCCTAACCCTAACTAACCTAACCCTACCTACTAGTACACCCGAAGAAGAAGACGGTATCGTCTACATCATCAGGATATGCAACTACGCTCCGCAGATCAGTGATCTTGCTAGGTGTGAGTGAAACCATTTGAGCTATAATATTAGACTCGAGGTGCACGCATGTCCAGTAGACCCACTTGATCGAGTTGAGTTTGCTTCGTTCCTTGAGGGGCAGAGTGGTACTATGCTTCAAGCCCAGACTCTGAGTAAACTTCGGATTACCCTTGATTATCACATAGCACACACGACAAGCACTGTTAATCCAGCTCCAGCTTTCCAGGACGCGAGTGAACTGATCCAGATAGAGCGCGGCCAGTATCATGGCCTGCGCATGGCCCAGTGAGTTGCCTCCTTGCTCGCTTCCGAGGATCCGTACTGCGTTGGCGTAATAGTCGATTCCGGGAAGCTTATCGTTCGAAGCGTTTGGGTGTTGCGCCCCATCCTCCTGAGGCGCAGGTAATGGCTCGCTGTGGGTGCAGACTTTGCCAAGCGCCAGTACGAGCAGGACAATCGCATTGCTCAATGAGCGTTCCATCCCACCATCAGACAACGGGTTTTCATAATCCAAGCCGCCATACCACTTGCTCTTCAAGCCCTCCCCCATGGCTAGTGCATCCGCCATTATTGCGCGAGTCGCAATCTCCTTGAGATCGGGGCTATTCTTTTTGCTGAAAGCCCTGATCATTGTGCTAAGATTGTTTTCGTCCATGAAAGGATGCAACTTGTGAATGGTTTCGATGTATGAGTTGTACAGTTTCCAGACGGTACTAGATTGCAAGTCAGGCTTATGGTCTAGGCCTAGTCCGCTATTGTTGTCTCGTCGTGGATCACTTGTAGGTCCAAGTGTGTTATGATTGTAGCCCTTACCAGCCTCCCAAATGTGAAGCAACCTGCGGTTTCGCTCGAGACCCATGGGATCCATACCACTGGACAAATCTTTAATAGACGGCCATTCGTCGAAGAGCATGTGGGCAGGGGTGATGTGTCTAGTTGGCCATCCGCTCGACGCAGGATCTTCCGATGATGAGACCGCGTGTGAAGTTTGACTGAGCGTGCGGGCGGGTGGTGACGAAGCATTGATGCTCTGGTTCAACGCTACGGTGTCATCTTTCAAAGATCCGAGATCCTGCTTCATTGCTTGCAATGTTTCATTTGCAGTAGATAGACTTTTGACTAGCATTGCTATCGAAGGTGTTCTCCTAAACGTCATAAACGTCAGCGTATATTGTTCATCATGAACATGCCACGTACGGCGGAGGGGGTGCCTCTTTGTATAGACAAGGAGTCTGAGTGAGCTCGCAATGATGGCACGGTTCTTCTCCATCACACTTGCGCTTTCGTGCTCGGCACTCAGTGCATGCTATTGTGGTACGTTTTTTGTGCGATATTTGACCAGCTGGAACTCCTAATGGTCGTGGATGGACGACGTGGCTGGTCTGATACGGATAAGTGTATGCAGGTGGTGGATGAATTTCGAAGTCTGCCTGGGGCTGGTCGATGTGAAATTGTGATGAAGGGATAGTTAAGTCGTGAGGAGGTGGAAAACGATGGTCGTTTCTGAAATAGAATTCATGAGAGCGATCTTGCGCCATGTGAGATACAATCGTGCGTATAGATGGTGGGTTGGTTCAGAGGGACGTCTAAGAAGGTGACAGGATAAGGGAGCTTGAAGATGTACGGAAGGTTACTACTACTAGCCTTACGAAGGACAACAAGACTGACCACTCTAAGGAGCCACCTGTGAAAGATACTAGGCCACTTCTGCCGGCCAGTGGCCGGTGAATTAGGTTAGCGTCAGAATACTGGTAGCCATGCAAGAGACTAAACCACTTCTGCCGGCCAGTGGCCGGTGAATTAGGCTAGCGTCAGAATATGTAGCCTTGCAAGAGACTAAACCACTTCTGCCGGCCAGTGGCCGGTGAATTAGGTTAGTGTCTGGCAAGCTGTGGCATCCTGATGCACACCAGGGTATTGTAACATGACATTCTGCAGGCGTAATTTCTTGGTATCACAAATTACGTTCGAGATTGCACAAGCTGTTGAGCATTTTTGGGGGCTCCTTGTCATAGCCCTGTAGTTTAGTCCGAATTCTTGCATCCACTAGACAAGGCGCATCTCACCCCATTGTAGGGCTATTGCCGATCCCACTGTATAAATTTCAGTTGTCACTTAGCTTTCAAATGGTAGAAACCAATTTTATCCTTCATTCTCTCTATCCATTATGGCGAGTCATCCCCGATCCGTCACAAACTTCGAGGAGTGGCAACGTGATTATGCGTTAGAACGATTGGGAGGCGCGTTAGTCGATAAGGTCCTCATCGACGAGATCGGTTGGAGTTGGGAACTTTTGCTTAGGAAAGCAAAGCAGGAGTTCAATGCTGATTTCATCTACGAAAAGCTTTCGAAAAAAGAGGTTTGTCTATGTACCTGTATCCTGAACTTTCATTAACATTTGTTCAGGATAATGTGGTCGTCTTCGGAAAGAAAGCTAATAATGTCCTTGTCATTGGTTACAATCCAAGATCAAACATGGACATGCACGTTGGTGTGTTGAGCAACGCAAACGCAAGGAAGATTGATCAATGGATGAAGGGGGACGACCTGTGTGCAAACAAAAGTGACGGGGTGGAAAGGGCTGTAAACGCCACCTACAATATCCTGACTAGCAATGTGTCTGACACAATGGATAACAAGCCTTGAACGAGCTGAGAACAAGGTTTCATGGAGATTGGCCGTAGATATTAGAGGTCGCGTAGGCAGTTGGAATTTGACATAGAACTGAGCCCGCACATATCCAATGATTATGAAATCGTGAAGAAGAATATTAACAAGAATCTTTGAGGAGACCAGCCTTCTACCAGGCTATGAAGGAACGTTGTATAATACAATAAGGCCTGTCTAGAGTGCCACCAAATTTGTCACAGAAGTGGTTGAAGTCTGAGAAGCGCTTGTCTGGTGGGTGTTAAGATCACCACTTTCGAGGCGCTCTGGGTTGACCGTGCCCGCATGCACCTTCGTACAGAGATCGACGTTCAGACCCAATTTTCCTAACCAGATAGTGGTAGGTTTTGGTGCGATGAACATCGTATACGCACAAGATTCTACCAAGCAGAGCTTCTAGGCTGATTGAGCATGTAATCAAGCATGAAGGGCAATCATACATACCAAAAGAAAGTTTGTGCTATCATCGTACAGAAAAACGATGCTGATTGTGCATGAGGAAATCGCCGCAGCTGCACGGCAAGCCATGAATACTTTATACCTCCACCTCTTGGTTGGATATAAATTGACAACGAGCCCAAAAAAAGCGTAGCCGACAAAGTGACTCATTGACATCAGGCTCTTCCCTCTTATATCTCCATTGGGAAGATGCATGACAACAATGGCCACGGTGCCGATGAAGGTGTTCATTGCGAAGCTAATTGAAATGAGGCTAGCTTGATGAGTCTTTCCAAAGATTCTGTAGAGCAAGAGATTCTGGGAGGTTGTTAGTATTGTAGAATTTTGAGACGGAAGCGTGATTTACCTGACCAGAAGAGCTAGTCAAGTAACAAGCCGCCAGCAAAGACTGCAGTGCGAAATGTGATGATCGAATGAGCCATATGTGAGTCGTAGTGACAGCCACAATGAAAAAGGCTAAGGCTTGCATAACAGACCACCGGGGCAGCCAGCGTAGCAGCATATCTGATCTTGAACTGTAGCAACTGCAAGGATATACCACCTGTACACAAGCTAGGACAAAGTTTGCTACAACACATACAATCACAGTAGCTTTCTGGGCTGGATTCATGCTGAATGGTCGGTAACAATGAAGTGAATATGATGTAGGCCACCGGTGAAACGAAGACAACGCAGCGCACAGTGGCGAAGATGAAGGACGTGAGATGAACGACAGTTATATACTAAGCATTCCACTCTACTACCGAGATTGTCGTGATGGAACGAGCATTGATAAATGGCGACACCCTATGCCATCGGCCCAGTCTATTCAGATGGGCGTCATTGTGCCTTGTGCGTGCATGGTATACAGCAAATCAGCTCAGATGGGTGGAGGTGCTGGGCGGCCCAAGCGATACGACGATTTTGATGCTTGAAGCGGCCACGCCTTTCATGGCATTGGCCCTGTCGCAGCGAGTGTGGAGAAGACTAGACTATCCTTGCTGGCCAGTGGCCGGTGAATTAGGTTAGCGTCCACCCCAAGACTTCTCGAGTTGCCAGGCTCGAAACGCTAGTTGCTAGGCACCATTTCCAATACACACACGGAACTCCCGCGGCATAGTCTGGAGCTGACCCTGGATTCTTTGTTGATCACGAAAAGCAACTCGAGGCATTTGGATGGGTGTTTGCCGTCTTGTAACATATGTGCGAAGCGATCACATTGAGACACTAGAGATAGGAACTTAGTATTTGGCTAGCGATTGCCGTTGCACATAGGGCCCGATCAAGGACCTGCTTAATTTGTGGAAAAAATACATCCACAGCCTAGGAGAATATAAGTGCAAGTGCTGCAACGAATTTGTTAGCATAGCGATCTAATATAGTCCTCTAGGTTCCTAAGCATGTTATGTGCTGCCTTAGCTTATCCTCCTTGTCTGGTACTTAAAAATAGACCTAGAGTTCGTGTATAGCGCCCTCTGTTGTGCAGCTAAAGACAATGTGTGGTGCTTTGCCTATAGGATCCTGCGCTGCTAGAGATGCTAGTAGTCTAATCGCGTAAGCTCCTCCTCCTGCAGCCTAATTCTGTGCTACTATAAGATTTCTATTTGTTACTAGCCCCTTAGCTTTAATAATTAAGAATAGGAAGCGTATGTTGCCTTGCGTAGCGTGTGGATCGCTAACGACTAGCCTAGTAGCTTGCTAGTAATCTAGTAGGTGTGCGTGATTACGACTAAAGGCCTCTTAAGATATCCTAATTATAATATTAGGCTTTAGAGTTGTGATTGTGTTGTTAAGATCGCTAATAGAGGACTTGCTTAGCTTAGTAGATGTGGGTGGAGAGGCGAAGTTAAAGGGCTCGCCGTTAGGTTATACACTACGGTACAAAACCGGTTTACAGTAGCCATATTTATCTAAAGTAGACTAAGAAGTAGTTTAGGTAGAAGAAGTAAACCTAAATAGGGTTTATTATACTATATATTCTATAAAAGTAAACTACTTTTATTTCTACTTCTATTAATCTACTAGTATTACGTAGTAATACCTAGTTTCCTACTATTTAAGTATTTTACCCCTCCTTTCTTTAATCTTCTTCACCACCTCTATCACCACCTCTATCACCACTACCACCTCTATCACCACCACCTCCACCACCACCACCTCTATTATCACCACCTCCTATTAGTAAAAATATCATGACTTATTATTATATTATATGTGCGTATAGCGTAAAGCTAATCTTTTCTACCCCTTTTAGTCTTAGTTAGGTATTATAGGGTATAATAGAAATAAAACTACTTTTTATACTTAATTTAAACCCCTACTATAAAAGTAAACTACTACTTTAATAAAAGTAAACTACTACTTTAAACCTATTTATAGGTATATATAAGGTTAGTTTACACCTATATAGTAAACCCCTAGCGTACTATTCTATAGTAAACAATTTTTTACCGTAGTGCTCTCTGGCTTGATGACAGCCTAAGTTAGACCGAATCACAGCTGGCCTCGGCTAATCTACGATCAGCACACTTGAGCAGGAACCTTGACCGAGATGGGTGCGTGCCTGGCTGGTAGAAGAAACTTGGTATCGAAAAGGGTGGGATTTGACTGAAAGAAAGTGACACTCGTTTGCGTTACCATACAAGGTTCCGACCAACAGCTTGATACATCGCCGCTCCCTGCCGTGCCGTGCTCTCACGTGATCATTCGCACAGACGCTAACGCAACAAGAATGCATAATGAAAGCGCAGCCCTCTGCAAATACTTAAATACCAGCCGTGTCCCGAAAGATTAATACACTTACTTTCATCATCAAGGACTGTAGTCGTTGTTACCATGAGTGTCGCGAAAACACCTTTTGCCTTTTTCTCGGACGGAACGCCCGTACCTTTAGACGGGGAGTTTCACGTTGACCCCTTAGACCCGTCCAAGCTGCTCAGATGCCATGAATCTTGGACACCTCCGGGTGTATCCAAAATCATATCGGGTGGCAACACAGCCTACTTAGGCTTACTCCCTGACAAGTCCGTTCTTAAATTCCCGGTGGACCGAAACGATTCCTTCTCAAAGAAAGCTCTCGACATCGAACACCGTATCCTGTCAGATATTGGAGCCCACGACAGGATTACTAGATATTTGGGAAAACAAGAGTACGGACTCCGCTTTGAACGCGCAGCAAAAGGCGATGTCCGGTCTTACATGTCTACTGTTCAGCTAGACAGCATCCCCGTTCACCTTCGAATGAAATGGTCGACACAAGCAGCAGAAGCCATATCTTTCATTCATTCCCGACGGGTCATACACTGCGATGTACATCCAAACAACTTTCTAGTCGACGACGCGCTGGATCTTCGGCTTTGCGATTTCTCGGGATCCGTGTATGGCAATTTGGATGGAGGTGGTATGGAAAGCGTTCGTTTCTTCCTTCCGAGAGATGCAATGGCTGCTCCGACCATAAAGTCGGACCTTTTCGCATTGGGATCGGTCATCTACTATATCATGTCAGGCCGTGAGCCGTACGATGTTTTGCCAGATGAAGAAGTGACTGCACGTTATTCTCGAGGCGACTTTCCTGGGGTGGACTCGATGCCGTACGGGCAAATCATCTTAAGCTGCTGGAGAGGAGACTTTGACGATGCAGAAGAGGTCTTTCTGGCCCTTCTAAAAGGAGCGTAATGCTCTATTGCCATCTTAGCGAGGCAGAGAACGCATTTCCGTTGTACTCACACGTGTTGCTAGCTACAGTCAGGTAACAGATCGGCACGCGTATGTATTTAATAACGCATAGCGAACAGAGCTTGTACGTCAAGCAACAGGAGAATGTTATAGATGAAAATCTTCGTTCTGCGGGTCAAGTTGCCTCGCTTTCGTCGCTGTGGGTCGTCCACATGGATTGTGATGGTCGTCGACCGGGCTATGTACTGGTGCGCGACCTGTATCGGCAGCGCGCCTTTCGAGGCTGACTCAGCCCAGGTCGTTGTGGTATGAGCGTATCGCATTATTCTTCGTGCCAACGGATCCTAGTAAAGGAGAGGGCAAAAGTTGGGGGCGTACAAACGTTATCTTTCTTAGCTTATAAAAGAGGCTTTTAAGAGGTATATGCGAAAATATAATAATGTATGCGCAATCTTGAAATGTTTAAATTAGACTAACTACAAACACACTTATTCTAAGTGCTAACGGTCGTTTTCTAGGGGCTAGCAACGGCCTAAAACCTTCTTGTGTTAAGTCTGCCTTATTCATATGTTGCTCGTGTACGAAGACTTGTGTGATGGTTCTTAGTGCCTGGCTCAGCCCACCAGCAATATGCAAGGCATCTATGGGAGGTAGTCTTATCTCGTCCCACATCCTGTCATCAAAACATGGGACATAGACTCTGAGATCGATGGTACGGTCTGGAATGTCTTTCTCTTGATACCAGTAGCCTTTAGCATTGGCTCGAGAATTGAGCAAACTAGGGACCCCAAATGACATAATGAATTCCTTTCCTGGCTCGGGGTCTTGAAGTAAGCTTTGTTGAAGTTTCTGGAGCTGTATTCGATCAATGATACTGCGACTGCGGCAGCTTGCTCCGGTGATGCCGAAGTTCATCATTTCGTATAAGGTTTCTTTTGAGGTTCCTTGCATTGGAAAAGTCCCTAGGAGGTATATTTGTAGTCTGCGGTGATGCTTGTTGCGGCGCAGGTAGCGTTGTGTATCGCTTAGTCTTTGGTCCAGAGCAGGCACGTCGGTGCCAATCAAGGTTATTCTCATGCCTTGTCCTAGTAGATTCTGGATCTTATCCGTGTCCCATAGTAAGTCACGAATGGGATTTAGGTATCGAGCTCTCTCATTCATCCCTAACGATAGAGCACCCAATCGTTCAAGCTTAGCTGCGTCATATGCGGAAATGTGACGAAGTATGGATTTTCGGATCTCGTAAAAATGAGGACAGAGAATGTCCTGCAGACATATTCGTGGAGCCATGCTATAGTACCTGATTAGCTCTGGATAACACTGAATTTAAGTCCATCCGTGTAAACAACGGATAACCGTGAACAGGTATAAGTTTGTGGGGTTCGGTTTGCAGGACTTACTATAATTCGTAATCGGTAAGAGGTCTACGTGAACGTGTATCTAGCTCGTAGAACAAAAGGATATCTACGCAGGCACCTCACAGTTGCTGCAATATGCCACGAGGGTGTTTACCATGTGTTGCATCTTCTTTGTTCGGTACTCACCAAGACATCGAAATTCTGCACCACCGCGAACGGGTTCTCTAGAAAAACTAAAATACTGGTACGAGAACTGAGACATGTTTTTATTTATACTCACATATATAGTAAAAATCCTCCAGCCCGTGAGACTATACTTCCTACCAAAGGCTCTGCACTCCACACAGTTTACAAAGCCCCAACCTCTGACTATCAAAGAGCTGTTATTGAGTTGAGAGAGGTAGTTCTAAGAGTTCTTCGCCTCCATGGTAAGTTGCTAAGTGCTCATACTTCGTTGCTGACAGGATGATAGAGGTTAAGAATTGGCGGTAAAGCGCAATTGAACGCCGCCCCAAAACCGGCCCTTGCGCGAGGTTCATCTGCTCATAATACCGGCATGGAAGCCCCATTAATTGTTGGAATTGTGGTTACTTCTGTTTTACTCGTATTAGTTCTGCTACTGTCATGGGGTTGTCCACGGCGTCAACAAGTTCGTGAGTTCATAGCTCGATGGCCCCGCAAACGTGGCATCCAAGGCAATGAGTTTGATGCCCCTTAGGTAGCTACAATGGAACTTGCACGAATGCCAACCACCCTGCATCTACACTCTGATTTGTTAATCGCTATGTGGCTCGCTGTACTGCCACAATGACAGCGTGTTTCCAATAATAAGGTCTCCCATGCGGTCAGACCAGTGACAGGTATAAGTAGTCGTTTCCTCTCCAAATGCTGTTCACACCCCCATTCACTAATCCTCCAATCACATTACCCAATACTAAAGCATGAAAAACATGGCGCAGGGAAACCGTGTACCTGGTAGTGATCTGTGAGCAGACTAACCCTGAAGTCAGTTACTGTGCCTGATGGCTAACAGAAGCAGTGAACATGACATCTTCTTCGAGGTTGACTGGGACGTCATGGAAATCTCATCTGCCTTCACTGGTGCGCATGCCGATCAAACTACTCAACTACTACGCCACAAAGCCACAAGCCCTCAACTCCACTTCAGAGATACATCTTGCAATCGAGAAGCGGATGAGGCAGTACCAACCAGGGCCACAGTCATCTTAGGATCTCCAGCTCGCATAGTCTGTCGCACCTCCCAGGTGCCTACTCGAGAGAACAATTTGGCGAAAGGAAGACACATTATTAGCTTAAACTGGTTGCAAGACTATCACAACAAAGATCTGCGGAGTATAGTCACCTGCTTAGGCATACAGTTGAGCTTAACAGGTCTGGAGTATCGCGTTCGCTACACCAACCAAACTTTGCCAATCCAGGAGATCTTGGCTTTAGTTGCTCATCTTCGGCGACCTCTTAGCTCAATCATCGATTCAGTTAACAAGGATTCACGCGGCGAGCTTGAGTTGCTTGGTAGGGCTGGGACCGAGTCTGTGGAAGTTTCATGGAAGGACGATGTACTAGCATCTCATCACCTGAGCCTTACAGAGCAAGTTTTCTTAGTTATACTCTTCTTCAAAGAGTATCTTGTATGTTTAATTACCAACATCTGCTAGATATTCTTATAGTATATCGAATATGCGCTGCGCGTCAAAAACTTTGCTTTAGAAGAAATTATCGCGCATCCTCTTCAACTCTCGCTGCTCTAACATGACACCTGGCTCAGTTGCTCGTTTCAGTGGAACAGGCGGAAGTGCTTTCTCTTGAACAGCATGATCGACAGTCCCAAATAGACTATTAAGCTGTTGCGTGTCTATCAATCTCTGGAGTGTTGTAGGAAAACCACTAAGCGGCAAAGTAGTCGCTGTGATACCTCGTATAGAAAAGCTAATGCTCTCCTGCATCGTTTCAGCGCGGAAGGTTACTCGACGTCGGAAAGGCGGTGGCTGATGTACCGGGATAGACTGCACACAAGGTATTGGATTGCCGTTTATTAGAAACCAGGATGAAGTCTCCTTAAGACGCTGGTAGAGATAAGTACGCCCTTGTAGTGGAAGATTATTGCGACAATGTATGAAACCAGAGCAATGGAAGCCGTCTTTACGAAGAACAGGCACTACGTCTAGCTCAAAGTAGAACATCGATGCAATTATAGCATCAATCACACCGGTCACCGTGGCTTGGTCGTCTTCAATAGTCTGGACGACACACTCTTTCAGGCCGGGAATACTTGAAACATCGTCAAGACTAGGCTCATGTCCGTGAAACTGTATGTTAAGACGATGGTAGCGGCTTCGCGATTCCGGGGTCACCGAGTTCAAGAAGCGTTTCCATGCATCCTCAGCATCGAGGTTTCGCATGAAGCTCTTGAAGATCCGCGCTAGGAATCGTGACTTGTTTGAGGACGCGGCCGTAGAAGCCATCATTGAGGTACCAATTCCAAAGATAAGAAGAAGTCTGGCTCAGGCTTGTTGGGCCAGAGGAAGCGCATTTCCCATTGAGTGATGTCAGCTGGACAATTGTGACGTAAGCCACCATCCTGATATACGAGACTGCCAACTGTCTGTGGTTTGAAAAACCTTTACGTGATGGTCAATAGGTGTTTTTGTGTCACAGTACGCTACTTACCAAGGAGCAGCGGATGTGAAGCAGGCGCTATTAGAATTAGTGATATAGATGTGATCTTGCATAACTGTATTGCTTACGCATCGCTAACACTTATATCATTCAGTGCCTGTTCTGCCCGAACGACGTCGTAACCTAGTATTTATAAGCAATTGCCCTGGACGAGTAGGCGCTTCGTACCTAAGCCATCGGAACGTTGACCACCATTGTAATTAGTGAATAGCCATGGTAGCGAGTTGTTCACCGCGGTAGTCGTCACCGCAACTTTCGTATCATTTTTTAGTGGGTTGAATATCTGCAAGGAGGAGTCAAAAGTCTTGCAAAAGGCATCCTGAATAGCTTCCAAGCTGTACTGTCCATCTTCGATGTAAGCTACAATTAGCTGAATTGCCCGCGCGATTAGAGCCGTTTTTTTGCTAAAAGTTATACGTGAAACGTCTTCAAAGCGTTTAAGAGACTCGGCGACGCTCCACTGCATGAGAAACATGCCAATCACGACAAGACCACCTATAATATGTCAGCCCAAGTATTTGCACAAGCAAAGCGACTTACCGGCTGATGTTCCGCAGACAAAATCGAAAAAATCATTAACTTTTCCACCAAAGGGCGCAAGTAGTCCATCGAGATGTTGCAGGTACCTAAGGGGGATCACACCTCTCACTCCACCTCCATCAACGCTGAGTATTCTGATACCAGCAGTCGGCGGAACAAAGCGAAAGGTTGAGCTGCGGTAGTTGACGCCGCATAATATGCATTCTGGTAGCGTGTACTGATTGCCGTCTGAGCGAGAGCGAATACCAAAGATCCTGATACATGTATCACAGAGGGCGTGGCCGCATACAAGAACTTTCTCGGGCATCCGCAAAAAGCAGCTAAAGCAAGATCGATGACTCTTGATATTCGCAAGATGTGTATGATGTGACGCTATCGTTTGCTGGTGTACCCTGCTTGCTGGCACATCGTCTTTGACATGTCTCGCGAACGCGCTCTCGAATTCATCTAACGTCGATGATAAGAACTTCTTCTGCACTTCTGGACTTGCTGTATATGAGGATATAGCGGCGAGACATGCAGTGGAGTATAACTCTCGGAAGAGATAGCTAGGGCTAAAGTCTCGTACCGTTGTTAGCGGAAGGCCCGAACATCCTATCTACCATACTCACCATGGGCTCCAGGAGGATAGCTAGCAAGGACTAAAGCTGAGCCCAGAATAGGTGCTACGAAGTGCCAAAGCCAAGCTTATCATCAAAGATTACCATCAAAGAGCAGGAGAGTCGCAAAGTTTCGCAGCTTGTGATGTCCTTCTCGTCAGCAAACAGTCTTGCAAGCCAACAGGCAACCTCCCACCGTGGTCTTGCTCGAGTTTCCCTGGACAGTCTCCACTTCGAGCACCCACTTGTCCTTGAGAAGCACAGAAATGAGTCATTAGATAATGTTCAACGATTGGAGAAAATCTTTGAGCGCAGTGGATGTTTGAGGTTGCACGACGAAAATATTCTCAACGCAGTAGTTCGAGAGGACGATCTTGCCACTGCGCTCAGTCGATCCAATCTCACAGCAGCGGCTTTGCGCAGAATCATTTCCGCCACTGATGCGCCAGCCTTACATTTGGAAAAGGTCAGCTGCCTTACAGGTCTCCATCGTATTCGCGCGGCGGATCGCTTCCTGGATCCCAATGATAAATGGTGGACAGTCCGGCTCTTTTCCAATGGTAATCAGGCATGCACGAATCTTCGTCAGGGCTGACTTGACCTTCCAGATACTCCACAACCTGTCCTCTGTCACATCATCGAGTCGTATGCCAACGAGCAGAAACCACGAGATGGCGATATATTCCGCAAGATACGATACTACCATCGGGAAAAAGATGCGGAAGCGGAGAATCGCTGGTGGGCGCGTTTGGACAAATCTAAGCCCAAAGATCTTCGACAGCTTTTGAAAAGGCACAAATTAGCTTCAGCATTCGATGCTCTCATCGACTTCCCAGGTTTGTGGGCCAAAATACAACTTGGTGCGCTGCATCGACTGTTGACACTCAAGTGTGATGAGGTATGACTGGCTCAGTGGATGCTAAATGGCTTTTGTTAACTTGATAAAAGGAAATGATTCGCTATTTGAACCACGTAGCGCTTACTTGGACAACGATACTAAAATATGAGAGCACCACGATGTCGCCCTCGATTGTAGATGCTGTTACTGTCAATCATCTTGAACTGCTTGCCCCGAATCATTCAAAGATTGACAGAGACCTATTACTAGACCTGATGGATCGTCAAATCCTTTTTCCGTCAGTTATTGACAATCAACAGCGTCGTGCATTGGCAAGTAATCTATGTGCAACTATCGGACTCATCCCATCTCTCTGGACCTTTTTCGAGGTCCTTAAGTACCTCGAGCCGATGTGCGAGATACTAAAGGATCTCATCGGTGGCAAGCAGAAGCGGACTATACACTCTAGCTTAATGGCAAACTACTACCCACCTGCTACTCCCATGGTACAAATATCTGATACCACTGAGGCGGAAATTACTATCCCTCTTAGTAAGGCAGAGGCAGCAAAGGTGTCATATATTGAACTCTGGGCATTCTGTGGCCGCCACTTTGATGGTCTGACCGCATTCACCCCTAGGAAAGAAATAAATGGCACAAAACCTCTAGTGAAGGGCCCAAATTCAGTATTATGGCATCATCTAGCTAAGTTTGCGGTGTCGAGAGGCTTCAAGACTAAGCGTGCACAAGAACTAGCCGCCACAGACCCCTACACTCAGCTGGCCCGTGAGTATCTTTACAAGGCGAATCCAATTTGTGCGTCTCCCAAAGATAGCCAAGTCCGCAGGGTGGTGCATGCAAGTTATCCGGAGGTAAACATTCGGGGGCCTGAAACTTTACCGGAGGCTCTTCATATCACGAAGGAGCGAAGGAGTGGTCGCACATTTGAAAGTGATTTAGAATACGATAAAAAGCTGTTGTTCCTTCCTCATGTGTACGGGAGCGATAATCCTGAGGAAGCCTCGCTGAGACTTAGTCGTCGTTACTTGTTCTCGACCCTGTTTGGAAATTTTCAACTCCAGGTTAGTGTATCCACGTTGGCACTATTTCTAATGTTCATGATGCATAGCACGAAATGCTCGGCACCCACAAAGCTAGCGCTTTTCTGAATCTTGGAGCTGAACTGATGGAACTTGATACTACGATTGATTGTGGACCGGAGGCAGGAGCATACACAGACTCAGACGACGAAATGTCTCAAACCGTAGCATCACAAGAACACTACCAGAAGATGCTACTTGAGAAAGAAGAGCAAGTTCGGGAGCTGGAGCGCCAAATCGAGGTGACTGAGTACGAGAAGAGCAATCTATTATCAGAGAGAGACGCTTTATATGCAGAGCAGCAGAAAAACGCCGCAATATCGCAGCAGATAACTGATCTCCAGAGACGAAGATCTGTCCTTGAAGGGGAAGTCAATCAGGTTCGAGCAGAGAACCTTAGAATAAATCAACAAGCAGTAGAAATCCGCAATAAGGCCTCGGACCTACAGGTCCAAAACGTTGCTCTTAAAGAGCAGCTTGTGCAAATGCGAGCAGAGAATGCTCCAGCTTGAGGGAGCTAACTCCAGCCGGGAACTGGAGGTGCTGAAACTTCGAGAAAGAAGTACGGGATCTCAAGCCAGTAATGTGGCCCAAACTAAGGGACGTCGCAAAGCTATTAAAGGGCACGAGAATCCTTTCAAAATTATTAAAAAGAAAGACGAAGATCTCAAAGCTATCAAAGAGAAGGAAGAGGCGGTATCATCAGCGTTAGTCTTAAAAGAGCCAACCTATGAGGACAAGATTCAAACGGCGTTGAGCGGAGGCGGTGCTCAAGAGATCTGGAAAGGTCGCCTCCCAGTAAACAACCCTGTGTGTTTTGTAATTGATTCAGTAGATCAGCAGGGTAACTTGTGTGGTATAAGTATTGCTCTCGACCTTAATGCAAAAATAAGAATTAGGGAACTGTTGGCTATCAATGAAGTAGTAGGGAGATTTATTGGCACCGACGCGAGGAGAGCAACAATAGAAGGGAAGTTCCTACCAGATGTTTCGTCGTATCTGCAGACGGGATTCTGGGGTCCAAAAACTATGCTATTAGTAGGCTCTCAGTCTTGCATTGAGGAGTATAGGCGGGGAGCACTCTATACACGCCTGATGCAGTCAACTGAACAGCCAGCAGAAGATCCCGCAAGTGCGGTAGGGATCACTAATACTATGATGGTTCCATGGGAAGAAATAGACTCTAGCGAGTCTGAGATGGGCTTAGACATGGAAGATGAGATTAATAATGCGGGGATGAGGGATATAGGTGCATGATGTTTCGTATAACTTATGGAATTATTATTATAATGCAGACGCAACGTGAAGATTAGAGATCTGCTCACTATACAGGTCCATTGGGCGATGAACCCCTACAACCTTCAAGGCCTATATGCAGCGTACAATCGGAAAAAGCGGGAATAATAACATAAAAAACGTGAAAACTGTGTTATCTGCTAAATATCAAAGACCTCAGCGTTAAAGCAGCTACTAGCAGCAAAATTAAAGCACTCTAATCCACCACATAAGATCGCGGACAGGAGACGCTGCCGTTTAGACTACATCAACCATCACGATCGCTTTCAAAAAAATAGAGGATAAAAAGAAGCTTATCGCTTCTTGACTAGTTTAGCAATGCAAATCACTCAAGAATTTGTACATAGGAATAGCATAGAAGGAGATAGCAATGTACACAGATAACTAAGCCGCTATATAGACAATAGCTAAAGTAGAGGACGGTCAGGAGATTGATTTAAATCAGGCTGGTAAGAGCAGGAATTTTAGGTTACGATTAGATGTTATTTCTCCTTACATGAGCGATTTACATCAAGACTCCCTCATGCAGTGAAAGGTGTTCGTCATATTATCTAACGTGAACCACTTGTTCCCGTTCAACTGCTTTACGGGCCACCCAAAACAAAAGTGTATCGGTTTATCCGTTGGCAGCGCTTCACGCGGCTCGACCATGGCTGATGTTAGTCTGCCGAGAGCAACACAATGATCAGATCCTCGGAGCGTTGATAACATATACAAATGAAACAACTGCAGTTGTCGGACAGTGGCGGAGGAACTTTACGAAGTTGATCAAATACGTCGTTGCCGCTAGTAGCGTGCTGCATTGGGCAGAGCACAATACAGACACTACAGACCTCTGGATCACCATCTGCTGGCATACGATATGAAGGGCTTACACACAGAATTCTCGGGCACACTTGTTTGGTACTTCTCTTTGTCAGGTAGCTTAGTGTTAGAACACGTTCCATGTTCACACAGCTAGGTATAGCCGTTACTTCGATCTTTGAAGGTCCGTATAATGTTTCGAGGAGGTGTTTAACGCATTTCGAATAAATTTTATGCTATTGTGTAGAGTGTAGGTAGTTTAATTGCAGGTTTGTGCGACGAGTAACCGACAATGGATCTGTTACGTTCCCCGCACATGTATTATAGTAAATGCAGCCTATTCACACACTACCGCGAACTGTTTCCTTGTAACGGTATACAGTGACAGTATAAAGTTAGTTGTTATTTTAGACATGCTGCACATCGGCTTCATCCCGCGCCAATGGATACCCTAGAGGTGAGTGGTGAAGCGCCGATTGCTTGGCTTGATGCAAGTATCAAGCAATAATCTACTGCGCTGCTGCAGACATGGGCTGGTGGCGGCTATCGGTTGTGCATAGCCCGTGCGCTACATGAATCGCTTCGGCGCTTATTGTGCCACCTGCGCCCTGTAACGTGATCCACCACCGAGCGCCCACCCCCACCAAGCGCCCACTAACACCAAAATCCACCACCTACTAAATAAGGATATTGCGCCACCTATAATACCTATTATTATAAGATTTTTTAGAGTTATAATTATTAAATCTATTAGAGTAGATTAAATATTTTAGATTATATAAGTAGCTTTTTAGGGGGTCTAATTAGGCGCCTATACTATAAAGTTACCTTTACTACTATATCCTCTTCTACTAGCTCCTTATTAACTACCTTAGCTAGTATAATAGTAGGAGGCTTAAGGATTTACCTCTTACCTATTTAGGATATTTTAATATTATTTTAGAGTTACTTTTCTAGTTATTTAGTAGTTTTCTACTTATTATATATAGTAGCTTTTTAAGTAGCTTTCTTCTTCTACTTCTTTTTAGTAATTACTTAATTTAAGTAATACTCTTTTATAAGTTAAGCTTTAATAAGCTTCTATTACTTATAAAGCTTAATTACCTTACTTTTTTAGTATTATAGCTTCTATTCTTTAAGGTTCTTTTACTTCTAAAGCTTAAATACTTACTTTACCTTTAATAGTAAAATAAATTAAGTACTACTACTATAATTATTATTAGGGGGTAATAATAAAGGTTTACTATACTTCCTACACTTCTTCTTATTAGCTAGGGTAGCCCTTAGGTATTTATTTTTATAGTTAAGTAGAGTATTTCTTACTAATATAATATAGATTATCTAGCTAAGCTTCTTTAACTATTTATTATAGATATTAATTATAGTATTATAGAATAATAACTTTATCTTTCTTTAATTACTTATACTTAATATTAAGGTTATACTATTACTTAAAGAAGGCTAGTTACTATTATTTATAGGTACTTTAAACCTTAAAAGGATAATATTAGAGTTAAGTAGTAAGATACCTATTACTTTAAAAGCTATTAATATTAGCTTTTCCTTAAAGGTATTACTCTATATAGTATTAAATAACTAGTAGAAATCCCTCTTAGTAATACTTATAAGCCCTTAGGAGCTATCTAGAAAACTAGATAGTTAAGCTTTATATAAAGCTATAAAGGGAGTAAATACTATAATATTAAGTAGCTAAAGGGTATAAGTGCTATAAGGGGGATATATTATAAGTAGGATCTTATATTTATTATAGTACTTAATAAACTCTATTATTATATAAGATCTATAGCTATTAAGGATAAGAAGCTAGTATAAAGTATAAGCTTTAGCTTTTATCTTATAATTAAACACCTCCTAAAGCTAGGATACCTCTAGGGTATAGCTTATTTACCTACTTAATAATCCTATAAAAAAAGCTTAGTATTATAATAGGTTAAAAATCTTATAACTAGGTATTCTATAAAACTTTAGATTAGGACTAATAAATAAGAGTAAGAGTAAGAGTAGTAGTATTAGCGTATATACAAGCTATAGTAGTAATCTACTCCTTATTACTATCCTAAAGTATAGCTCTAATCTTTCTTTACTTATAAGCGCTATTATTAAATATATATTTAGTTTTTAATAGTACTTTAATAAGAAAACCCTTCTTATTTATATTATAGATATACTAACTCTTAATATTATATTACTCTATTTTTTAGGTATAAAAGCTTAAAATATAAGCTATACTTAAAGCTAGAATTAGCTTTAAAGTAGTTATAATTAAGCCTAGTAGCCTAATAGAAGATAAGATTAATATTATAGTAGTTAATAAAGCGCTATACCTAATTTTTACTTACTAGATTCTCTAATATTTTAGTTATAAAATTTTAAGTAATAGTCTATATAAAGGGTAATCCTTACTTATAAAGCTCTTTAATATACTTTATAAGCTTATTTTCTTATATAGTATTAAGTATTTAATTATTTAGTAAAGTAGTAGTATATACCTACTAAATTTTCTAGTAGTATCTAGATAAGGTTAACTATAAGTAACTATACTTTTCTACTATTTCTAAGTATATAAAATCTTCTTTAAAAGTTAAGGATTTATTTACTACAAGCGTGTTAGTAATCGGTGCTATAGTTGTTAAGAAATTTAGTGTTAAAAATTTAGTGATTTTAGTGCTAGTGGGCGCTTAGTAGGGGTGGGCGCTCAGTGGTGGATCACGTTAATGCCTGTGTTCGCGTTGTTGTAAGTTTCTAGGTTTGTTCGTGTGGGTTTAAATCTCCAACATGTCATTATCTGCGATCGATACCTAGGTATCAGATAATTGGCCATGGTGTTATCTACCGATAAAGGAAATAACAGGAGAGGAATTCAATTAGAGGTAAGAAAAGAAGGAACTTGTTGACATTGACAGTGATGGCTATTGTAGCATTCGGCCCGAAAGGTCTACACAAAAACAACGACAAAAACATACAACAGCGGGGATTCGCCAGTGGTCACCCACCTGACTACTAATCCGCCGGTACACTGCTTAAGTTCAGCTGAGCGAACGGGAAGCTCTATTTTCAGTGTCCTATGGTCGTATGTGGAAGAATTTTACTTTTGATACTACCAAATCACAAGTATTGCTTTGTGATCACAAAAGTAAATACATCAAGGTGGACGTGAAGGTGCGAGGACCAATTCCTCCCATCCTTATGTATATTCACTCCTTTCCTGTCACTTACCATGCAAATTTGCCGCTTGTGAAAACGTCATCTTTGTTAATGTTGATGTTTCTAAGGCTGATAGGTGTGAGCATCCATCAAAACCGAGCAAGACAAGTGCAATGTTCTGCGTTTGGCTTTTCCTCTCGCCTTCCTCATCACCACGTGCACTAAGGGTATCGCGTGTTTGAAATAATGCCACCGAATTTACCAATGCTGTCAACAACAGTGGCCCTGCCATTGTCCAAAATACTCAGACAGTCATATCTATGCCCTGCGCTGTGCTAGGTTTTGTTTCAACACGTGGTGATGTACGGGAGTGATCTACAAGACACTCCCTTCCCATCAATTCTTCCCTTGCTTATTACACCCACGATATTGGTCTTCTGTGGATA